TGGCCACCCTGCCAGCGCCCGGACCCTCCCACGCCGCACGGGAGCCGGAGAAAAGCCCTGGGGGCGGTCGCGCTCGAGCTCCCCACCCTTCCTCTCTTCTTGTAAACCAGCGGGCCCGGATTTTACCTCTGCTCCTGTTCCCCGCCCATCCTTCAAGCCGTGGAAATAATAGGAACGGAAAATTCGAAAGCGCCTAGGAAATTGCAAAACCCTGGCTACTGCCAAGTTTCTTGTAATTACGTCCAGGTGACGACGGAGGAAAGGGACCGTATCTCAAGGGCAGATTGCGTGTGGAGAGGCGCGCGCTGGGAGCTGCGCAGGGTGGGGAGCGCCTTTGTGCCGCGGGCTCCCCTCGGGCTCCTGTGGGCCGGACCCGGGCGCCACCTCCTCGCGGCTTTGGGGGACCTGAGTTGAGCGCTGCGTGTAGTTCTGTAAAGAAACACTTCGAATTGTAGGTTGGTTGGTTTGTTTTTCATTACAGACGAGGTTAGAATCATTCTCCAAAAACTTGCAAGACGTGATCGTCTTCACTTTAAGTGGAAAGGTGGGCTCGGGCTCAAACAGTGTAGAGAAGCCACCGACCCGCACGCAGAGAAACCGGAACCCGAGCTGCCTCCGCTCAGTGCCGGGCACTGGCCTCCTCCATCTCAGTACTTGCTCAGCAGGAAGTTTTCCAGCTCTCAGGCGCGCCCCCTAAAACATGGCAGGTTCAGGCCTCCACACAAAATCCTTGCTGAATTGTGGCCCAGTCAGAACTACTTCGGCCCCGCCCGACCCTGATTCCTTGGGCAACCCCAGGGGACCTCTGCTCACTTTATTCCTTAACTGTCGGGTTCATAATTAACCAGGCAACGATATGCCTAGAACATAGGACTGTACTGCACCTGGAGACCTGAAGTGTTTTTGGAAAATACTGTCATCTACATTCCCTGGGGAAATATACCCTATGTGCTTAGTACACAAGGTCTATCTCTTCGCCTTCTGGCAGTGAGCACTGAACAAAGAGTTTATGACCAACTCCAGCATCTCTGTAATTTTATCTTTAAAAATCTCAAGACCCCACAACATGCAATTTCTTTGAGAAAGCACGCAAGTTTAACCCTCTGTGTAAGGAATTCTGATTTTTAAAAATGTACTATTTTATTCCGTTCTCACAATAACCTTTCGAGAGGAATTGTTTTGTTTTGTTTTTTTATTTTTTTGAGATAAGCTCTCACTATGTAGTTCAGGCTGGACTTGAACTCACTATGGTCTCGAACTTGCAGCAATCTTCTGAGATGAAGTTATTCTCACTTGACAAAAAACGTAAACTAGAGCTGAGAGTTTTTTAGAAGCTTGCCTGAGATCTGGGTTCAAACCTGTCTTGGTCCATACAGCTTGACCAGGTAAAAGATAATTCAGAAGGGAAATTCACTTCACTTCATTTTTGGAGAATAACAATGCTATATCTGTGGACTTATACAGAAAGTCTGTGGGTTCTGCAAAATCACAGAAATGTTAACAGGAAGCCAACAACTAGGAATTTATTCATAATAAAAAATTTAAAATTACAGTCTGGGCAAATTATTTTTGAACATTTCAAATTTAAGGTATGATTTAAGAATGGCAAGATGCATTCTAGAAAGGAGATAAAATGTTTTGACTAAAGAATAAAACCTGAGAGGTGAGAAATCAAGACTAGTGTTGGAATATCCATACTCAGCCTTCAGGACTGCACATAGGGCAGAGGCTGGTGAGGTTCTGGTGGCTTCAAGAAGCGTAGGGGTACTTCCATCGCAGAATGGCCCCATCGGCACTTACGCTGACAATGTATTTATTTCCGGGACTTATTCGGACACGGGTGATGTTACCGCTGTGTCCCTTCCCAACGTGAGTCACTTCACCCTCATTGTAATCCCAAACTTTGACCAGATGGTCGTTTCCACCTGAAAAACATGGTTAGTTACATGGCACAGCTGCAATAGAATAGAGACAGCTCTGGTTTCAAATAACCAGATCATTTTCAACACATTCCCCATGTGCCAACTTAAAGGAAAATCTATATATAATGCTTTTGCTTGATTATAAAAATTTACATGTTGCAGTAAATTGGGGGGTGAGGATATACAAAGGGGTGCAATCATCCTTCAGCCTACTAGCTGGCAGAAGTTTGGTTCATTTCTTGCAGTCATTTCTCTAGAGGTGTGTCGGTATATGCATATAACTGAATATATGATTGGGATCACTCTGTATTTAGTTCTTCTTGCTTCCAGTCAATGTGTTCGTGAAACTTGAATTCACTGATGTTACTCCAGTTGACGTGTTGGTGGTAACTGTCCCCCTGGCGTACCACAGGTCAGTTCATTTACTTGGGGGAGGGCACCATATCCTTCAACAATGAAAGGAAATGAAAACGACTGCCTGGGCTGGGCATGGTGGCACACACATGTAAACCCAGCACTCAGGGAAGCTGAGGGAGAAAGGGTATCGAGTTGACTTCAGTCGGGCAACTTGGTGACTGAACAAAACTCTGGGTCAAAATTTTTAAAAATTAAAAGGGCTTGGGATGTAGCTCATTGAAAAGGCCCTGGGTTTGATCCCTAATCCTGGAAAAAAAGAATGGTGTATAGGACTTCAGTAGAAAACAATATGGAAAGGTAACTGGATAGTCTAGGACAGTGGCGGTGAACCTATGGCACGCGTATCACAGTGGGCTGTCTGTATCATTGAAAGCTCTGAATTTTCACCATCACTGGCCAAAGACATTTAAAGACCCATTTCTATTTCAGTGGCCACCACACACACACACACACACACACACACACACACAGCATTATAATACTTCATTTTAATTTATGACCCTGTTGCACCTATGCACACATTACTTCTCATTGAAATATGACTTTGAGATTTTCCTTTTCCAGCCACATTGGCTGTCCTGCTGAACTCAGAATCCCCCTTAACACCTTTTGCCAGTTTTTAGTGGCCTTGCACACATTACTTCTCATTGAAATATGACTTTGAGATTTTCCTTTTCCAGCCACATTGGCTGTCCTGCTGAACTCAGAATCCCCCTTAACACCTTTTGCCAGTTCTTCTAGTGGCCTCCTACTTAAATAAGCCACAATTAATTTTCTTTTCTTATCCCAGACTAACCTGTGACAAAGTGTGCTCCCTCCTGTGTGATATCCATACCGTTTATTGACCCAGACGAGGCACCTTCCAACTCTCGGATGACTGACCCGTCAAATACTTCCCAGTAAGCAATCTGGAATGCAGGAAAGAAGCATTAGGCAGTATTCTGCTCAGTGGAGTCATCCACACACATGCTAACAAAAGATGGTTCCACTTTATATAGAAGGTAGCAAAAATACATCATGGGATGGTATTGGCTTGGAATTATAAATAGGCTACAGCAGGGGGTGGAGAACCCATTCTAATATTTTTAGTATTGGTTTTTAAACTTGCATACTATTTAAAGAGATGTTGATATGCTGATAAACCTGGACTGGGACAGAAAGAGCTTTTGATAAGACTAAACAGATTGAGTCTATAGCAAGATATAAAATAAACAAGAGCCCAGCCTCTGCTTCTGCTCTTACAGGCAGATAGCAAAGCTACAAGCCTTGTGGGAGAAAAAGCTCCTTCTTTCTGGTGGGGGTTGAGGGGTGGAGAAGGGCACTACAGAGGGTTCTAGAGACTGGGCCTTACACAGTCACGTACCCCACTCCAGATGGACTCTCCCTCTTCTCCAACCCACCCTTATTCCTAACTTCTGTTCCACCCCAAAGCAACAAAATATTCCACAGAGTGGGGTTTAAAGACAGTCTGAAAACCTTGGTCTGGTCCCTCCAGGGAATGGGAATTAGATGGAAGGAGAGGCGGTGGAGAGAGGGGGATGTTTCTCTGAATATACAGTCATAGTCATCTGTAGGTATCAGCCAGAGAGATATGTTCCAGGGCTCTCCAAGGCTATGAAAATCCACAAATACTCAAGTCCCTTATATGATGTGGTATAGTATTTGCATAGAACCTATGCACATCCTCCTGTAATTTTTGCTTTTTTTCTTTTTTGTTTTTAGACAGGGTCTCACTGTATAGTTCAGGCTGGCCTTGAGCTCACTATGGAGCCCAGGCTGGCCTTAAACTCATGGGCAATCTTCTTGCCTCAGCCTCCCAAGTGCTGGGATCGCAGGTGTGGGCCACCACTCCCAGCATCCTGTATATTAGAAATAATTTTTAGGTTGTTTATAACTAATGCAATGTAAATTCTTTGTTATAATATGTTGTTTGGAACAATGGTATAGGGAAAAGAAGTCTGTACATGTTCAATAAAGGTGTAAAAATTTTCCCAAAATACTTTTGTGCTTCAGAGATGATTTGAATGTGTGGCTGTGGTAGCCACAGTTGTGGAACGCCTGCTGTGCTTACCTTTCTGTCTGTCCCACTAGTGATGATCTGGAACTCTTCGGGATGATAGCAAACACACTGGAATAAGGTATTGGCCAGGATCATTTGATTCCTCTTAAGACGCCTGAAAAGTAGATTCAAAGATTATGAAAGTCAACTTTCTCTACCCTTGACATTGTACTTACTATTCAAATTACATTTGGCACAAGCTTGGATTTGGGTTGGTTTATCTATCTCCAACTTTTCACATGGCTCAGCACAGTAGCGCTTGTGGCTCGATAGTAGAATACCTGCTTGCCTATGTGTGTGGAGCCCTGGGTTCAGTCCCCAGCAGTGGGGGGAAAATGACTTCTGGTTACTGTGCCTTCTCTACTTCTGTGTCCTCCTACAGCTTCTGTCAGTAGCAGTCAGATAAGTGGGTTCCCTTTCTAGAGACAAAGCACAGAACTCAACGAGGAAGCTTAAGTTCCCAATAAAAGCAAATTCATAGCCAACCTGTTGCCTCCTACACAATGCATTCATTCTCAAGGCCACCACTAGGAGCCACATGGAGCTTCCCATAAGCCAAGTGGCAGAGTGGGGACAGATTTTTTAAATGGATGTCATTGGGCCCCACCTCTAGGAATTTGGACTTGGCAGACTGGGAGGAGGCCCAAAGATCTGAATTTGAATCCCGCATCCCAATTGACTGTTAAGTGCACAAGAGTTTGACAACTTCTGTCATAGATGAGAGACCGGTTATGTGCTCCTTAACCAAAATGCTTAGGACCAAAAGTATCTTGGATTTTGCAATTTTAGGGATTTGGGGAATGCTGCATACACTTTGCCAGTTGAGCACCCTATTTTGGAGAATTTTGGATTTCAGATCTTCAGATCAGTACCAAGAAATATATAAATATCATTTCTCTCTCCGTGATAAATGTGCTGGGTGACCATCTCAAAGGCCCGGCTCTCCTGGCTTAAAAAAAAAAAAAAAAAATCACCTTCTACAGTTCCTTCTCATTAGGAAGTTTCCAAACATGGCAACTGAGCTGAACATTGTTAAAGATTTTGGTGCAGATTAGCCTAATATTCGTTTGGTTTTTTGTTTTTATTTTGTTTTGTTTTGTTTTGTTGGTACTGGGGATCAAACTCCAGACCTAGTATTTGCAAGGCAGGCGGTAGAACCACTGAGCTAAATTCCCGGCCCTAAACATTCTCTTGTTATTGCACACTTTCCCAATGAAAAGGTCAAATGTAGACTGATCCCTTCTACAAGTATGGTCTTGCACCAAAATCTACATTTTGGCATGATCTCTAGGTGACTGAGGATCAAAAGTGGAGACTTGCAAGTCCAGAAGACACAGGCTTACTTTGCCTTTGCCCGGCCCCCTCTCCCTCCAGTACTGGAGAATAAATCCAGTGGGTACTGAGCTACATCCTCAGCTCTTTTTATTTTTTTTTTTTTTTGAGAACTGGTCTCACCAAGTTGCTCAGGCTAGCCTTAAACTTGCAATTCTGCTGCTTCAGCCTCCTGAGCCACCGGGATTACAGGTAGGTATGTACCACCACACCTGGCTGCTTTTTGTTTTTCAGTGTAAATAAAAAAGTGTTTTGTCTCTGATTTCAGTTCTCATTCTCTTCTCTCTCTCTCATCCAGAATATTTTATATTCTTTTGCCAAACCTGTGTCCCTTCATCTCTGCACTTAGTCCAGTCTCTTACGCAGTTATACATAGTTTATACATACCCAGAAGAGGAGTAACGGATGACTGAGAGGAGAGGTTGGAGAATAGGGTCTGATTCCAAAATAAAAACACACAGCAAAAAGGCTTATGTCAGAAATTCAAAAATCATCTTTGAAAATTCTTTCAGTCATTCCTATGGCGAGGTTCACATGCTTCAGTCTAGTTTGCTGGACAGTTAAGACATCCTACGGGGTGTGGTCTACTCCCAGTAGAAGAGGTCCTGGCAATGTGGCCAACTGAGGGGAAGGGCAATCCTGTGGCTCTCTTGCCCCACCCACTCACCCCGCCCATGGCAAACTCATTCTGGGCCTCAGAATGTGACAGAGTACAATGACCAGGAAAACTTCCCAAATCTCCTCTTTCCCTTGCACCCTTTCTAGACCTGAGTTGGTACAAGTTAAATCATGCTTTACTGTGTGTATTCCAAAAGCTACTTCCCTATCTGCCCAGAAGTTTCACTCGGTTCTTCCTAGAGACTATCCCTCCCACCAGAATCTGTAAACCCTGGCCACTCCTGGAGACAGAGGTCTGCTGAGGGATATCCATTTACTGTTGCTTTAAACCCAGTTAGATTTCTGCCCACCTTTAGACTCTGAACCCATGTTCAGTAAAACACGGACATGGCTGGGTTCTGTGAGGGTCATGTTGTCCTCCCTGTCCCAGGTACCTACAGGAGGTCCCAAATGATGCAAGTGCCATCCGTGCTGGCTGTGACACATTCTTCGTTGTTCTTCTTCACCCGAATGCAGGACACAGAGGATTTGTGCTCCTTCAGGGCCTCCTCCAGCTTCTGGGTCTGGCAGCCTATCTGCCACACTCTCACCTGAGGGCCCCAAAGCACAAGTTCTCAGTACAAACTTGGAAGCTTGGAAGGGATCAGAAAAGACTCTAAAAGCCTTTTCATCTCTGCAGGGTCTGTGAATTTTTTTTCTTATACTAGGGATTAAAACCAGAGCCTTCTCACTAATCTATCTCAAGCCTTTTCATAACTGCAGTGTCTGTGACTATTTTTTTTTTCTTGTACTAGGGATTAAAACCAGGGTCTTCTCACTAATCCATCTCCTTAGCCCCCTCCTTTTTTTTTCTTTTTAAATTTTGACACAGGGACTCCCTAGGTGGCTAAGTTGCCCAGTCTGGGCACAAACTTGCAAATATCCTGCCTCAGACTCCTGGAGTGCTGGGATTACAGGTGTGTGCCACGGTACCCAGCTTGTGTTTTCAATTCCCTGACCTTGTCTCAGTTGGGTGAGATGGGAATGCTATGTTGAAGGGCAAGAATATTCATGGACAAAATGCAATCGTCTTCCATGGAAATTGAGAACTGGTACCAATGATGCTATATCTGCTTCTACTTTTAGGCTAAGAAGTTTATCAGACGCCCACAAGGAAAATCAATAATCCAATGGCCTCCACTCACCCAAGTGCAGTAATATGTCTACTCATTTCTGCTGAGCATTGATCTCAAATTTCTGATCCCATCAGGAAATTTCTTGGATATGCAGAGCCATACTTAAACTTTTACATCAGCCATTGAGTTTTAATCATTTAAATCCAATGGTTCTCAACCCTATGGAACACTATACCCATTTTCTATTGCAAATATTTTCCAATACCTATTTATTCTCCTGAAATGAAATGCATAGGTAATATAATACCTACACACAAAATTTGGAACCGTCGATATGTGGTCCCAGTTTTAATAATAAAAGGAAAGTCATTTAGCTATTATAATACACACTTTATAAACAAAGGCTGTTACAAGTATACCAGAGAACATAGTAATGTACTTACATGCTTACACCATCTTAGAATGAATATGTTAGATTGTAAAAAATAAAAGGAGGCTGAGGTTGGAGGACTCATACAAGTTCAAGGCCAGCCTGGGCTACATAGTGTGTTCAAGGCAGGCCTGAACTACACAGCGAGAGCCTGTGTCACAACAAAGGAAGAAGTGCAGAAACGATTCTGTACAAGTAGTCCAGGACAGTGAGGGGACAGTGGTCCGAGTGAACACTGGATTAAAAACTGGTGTTTGGACAAACAGTAACAGACTGGACTTACTTTACCTGATAAGAGATAAATAACCTTAAATGAGATGAGGAAAACATCCTAAGATATTTTGTACATTGTGAAAGAAAATGATGAAGTGTGAGGTCCTCCCAAATGAGCAGGGCCATGTTTATTTCTATAGTACACAAAATATTATGGCATTACGAGCATCAAAGAAATCAAATTTTTTTGTGTGTGTGCTGAGGATCAAATGCAAGTCTTGTGCCTGCTGAGCAGTGCTCTACCATTGAGCCAGACCCCACCAAATCATCTTGGGATCCCCACTACCCGTGAAGCTTTAATCTTGAGCAGGGGTGATACCGAAGGTATTGAGCGAGTAAGGCGTGGGTATCCACGAAACAGCCCAGGCTTACAACCGGGTTCTCTGAAGCCCTTTGGCCATGCTCGGCATTCACCCCTTAGTTATGGAATGTGGAGGGAGTTTAGGGTGCACGTGGGGGAGGGGACAGGTGATGGAATTGAAGTACTGGTGAGAGGGCACACGGCGGGGGATGGCCATTAACCGGCAAAGGGAAGCATTTCAACAACTGCAGCATTGCATTCCGGGCACACCTGCTGACTAGCAGGGGACTGCAGCGAGCTCCCAAAGACCTCAAAGGCTTTCTTTAGAAAGGAGAGACACGCGAGTTCCTCGTGCACGGACAAAGCACTACCACTGAGCTACATCTCCAGCGCTTTTTATATTAAGACAGAATCACACTGACTTGCCCAGGGTGGCCTTTAACATGGGATTCTCCTGCTTCAACCTCCCCAGTAGCTGCAATACAAGGCCTGGAGTACACCCAGCTGAGCAATGCATTTGCGAAGCGTTATTTCCCCCGGAGGCTCTCACCTGCTTCTAGTTGGATCCCTAGAAGGCAGAGCCCTTCCAAAGCATGAGAGAGCAAGGGAGGTTGCTGGGAGGTCAGCACAGGTGTGGCTGGGGTAAAGCGGGGCTGAAGTAAAGCCAGCGGGTGGTGACAGGTGGGAGCTGGATGAGCAGTTAGGGAGACATAGCTGGTTAGATGGGGGACCCCGACTGTCAAATACACAGGCTAGATTTTGAAGACCTGGTAGAAAATACAGAACGTAAGATATCTTATTAATAGAAATGCTTTCTTCAGTTTAGATTTAAGGAAACTGAAGCACAGAGAAGCTCAAGCTCATGCCCAGATGTGGCAGAAGGCAAATTTGAGCCCCAGCATTCATCTGCTTTGCTTAAATTCTGCTGAGGGCTCCCTCCAGATGTTGTATCTTTCTTCTGCCTGACAAATCATCCTACAAGAGCTGAGAAAAGAAAGAAAAAGATAATGTCTATGCAGACAAAGGGAAGGATTTAGGATTGTTTTTAAAAAGCTGGGGCACAGAGGAAGGGAGACAGATAAAGCTCTGAGTGAAAGGTATTTTAGGTTCCTCGGAATGATGAAAAGGTTGAACATAGTGATTGTAAAATAATACCCCAAACATCTGGTATATTAAATGCAGGTAGTTGATTCTAAAAATATTACCTGCTTTAAAAGACACAGACAATTTAAACAACTATGGCTCTTAGAGGAAAAGAAAAAGTACGGCGAAGCTCTGGCTAGACACCAACTTGGATTCATAGCTGAATTCCACAAAGAGCGCTCTTACATCTGTATCTTACACATCTTTTCTGTAAACATGTATACTTATGTGTATATTTATATGATTAGAACTTTAATTTATGATGTACCCTAGGGTTCCATCAAAATCTTAATTTGGCTCTGCCTGAATTCTAGTACAGGTACATACTGAAAAATTTAAATAAATGGCCTCTGAGTTAACTGCTCTAAATCAAAGTTTGATTTTTTTAAAATTCTATTCTCAAGAACATTACCTCCCCTTCCCCACCGCCGCTGATGACCCTTTTACAGTCACTGGTGGTGGCGATGGCAGTCACTCCGATCCTGTGAGCGCTGTTAATGACGTATATCAGTCTGCCCGTCTCAGGGGCGAAGGCCCGGATTCTGCCATCGTTCCACGCTGGGGTGGTGGGGAGACAAAGGGAAGCAGGATCAGTACACTCAGGCGCTCTCTACAGACCATGATCAGGATCCCAACTGATATGTGAGAATGAGAACTGGGAGAAGAGGCAATGACGGAGGAAAGAAGCCAGCCCCCTCCTCCCCAGTGTCCAGCGATCACACGTCCCTGGTCCCTGGCCCCCAAACAAACCAGGCCAGGCTAAGGGACAGGAGCGGTTTGTTTAGTTGAAACTGCCCGCCTCCCTCACCAAGTGAGGGAGAGTAGGGAGGGGAAGAAGGGGAGAGGCCAGCTCACACTTTGCCATGAGCTGCAGACCTGTACGGGCATCTAGCTAGCTGGTGTCAGGCCTGGGATGTATCATTTAACAATTCCAAGTGATTATTGGCTTCCTGCCCACCCCCACCTTTAAATATGATGACCCTTCCCCATTCTCACCTTTGAGACATTGCCGTCATCCATCCAGTAGCTTAAGCCAACAGCCTGAGTCACCCTGATTCCTCTATGCTCCCTCTACCCCACCCAATCTGACACCTGACCCATCAGCAAGTCTCATCTGCTCTGCCATGAAAAACACTGAGAATCTGGCCACGAGTGCTGGCCACCCTGTGCCAGTACCACCCTACTTGAGCCACAAGCACATCTGCCCTGGATATTCATTCGTTTGTTTGTTTTTGTGGCAGTGGAGATTTAAACAAGGACATTCACAGTAAGCTATATTCCCTCAGTCTTTTTTAGTAATTTTTTTTTTTTTTTTTTTGGCTTTAAGGCTAGGTCTTGCTAAGTCACTGTAGTGGATTAACTAACGGTCAATGTGCAATGTCCAGCTGAACTGAATCAGCGTACTCCGGGCGTGGATGAACTTCCTGTGGATTGTTGTCAGTAGCTATAGAAAGAGAACTGGAGGGGAAGATCTGGGCCTGTTGATTTTCTAGGAAAAGCTTTCTGTCGATCGTTTTCCTGGTTTGAACTAGGCTATTAGCAGAGGAGCTCTGGGCTTTGCTGTTGCTGGGAATGGCTGCTGTTTTCATCAGGGGAGCTCTGATCTTCACCACGAGCATCTCTTCCTGGCTCCAATGTGAATCCCCTCAGCTTGGCGGCACAAATCTTTCATCTCACCAGAGTAGGTTTTCTGGCTTCCACCACTGGCCTTTGGGCCTTCCAGGTGCAGATCCTTAATATAAACAAGCACGAAACACTGCCGTGGGCTCTAGGTCACTAGCTGGACTTGTGGAGGACATTGACTTGGACTCTAAGCCTTTAGCTGGCCTTGTGTGGAACTGCTGGGATCCAGGCCCTTGGCTGGATTCTTTGGGCCTCTAGTGTGCAGTTAATCTCTTGCACTCCTTTGCATTTGACTTTTTTGGTAATTATCATAAAATAAACGTATGAACTATGTGTCCTATATTTAATATATTCCCTTGCTAAAACCCTGACTACAACAGTCACTAAGCTGCCCAGGTTGGGCTCCAACTAGTGATCCTCCTGCCTCAGCCTTCTAGAGTGCTGGGATAACAGATGTGTACCATTATACCTGACTCTCCTGGATTAACTTAGCAACTCTCTCCCTTGCCTTCCACTCTTGCTTAAAATCAGTCATCTATACAGGTGTTGGAATGAACCTTTTAAAGCCGTGACCTTCTTTGATCAAGCTTTTCCCACTATATATAATATTAAAATAGAACTCCTTTATCTAGCTCAGTAACTAGTGTCTGACCCTGCCTACCTCTCCTCTGTGATTACTTTCTCAGAACCCTCAACCAAACCATAATCACTAAGCTCTAGATACAGTGACCTCCTTATTATACCAACTGATATCCCACCTCAGGACCTTTGTACTTGCTGTCCCCTCTGCCTGGAATGCTTTGCCCCCAGGACTTCACACGGCTGACACCTTCTCACTTGCTTTAGTGTCAACTCCCAACCTTTGCAATCTTAAAAAGGATGCTCAGGTCGATCTTATTTCAGCAAAGACTTAAGGAAGTGAGAGAATGAGGGGATATGCCCTGGGAAGATCTGGGGGAAGAACATTCCAGAAAGAAGGGGCAGCAGGAGCAAAAGTGCTGCGTGTGGTGTGTTAGAGGGATAGCAAAGCAGCAAGTATGGCTGGTGGAGAAAAACGTTTGTGCGGGAGACTTGCAGGCTGTGCTGATTTGTATCTAACATCCCCCAGAACTTTGTGCACACAGTGGCAGTGCTTTGGGAAGGCGACTGTTATGGGCCTAGCAGAGCTGGCTTCCTGGTAGGCATTGGGGTCTGGTTGGAAGAGGGTGATCATGTGATGTGGGAGGCTGTATCTCCCTTCCTGGGTCCTTTTTTCACTCTCTGCTTCCAGGATACCAAAAAGTAAGCAGCTTTTCTTCTGCCATGTTGTGCTCTTGCCTCAGAGCCGGCTGGCTACGATCTGAAATGTGAGCCAAATTAAACTTTTCCTCTTTTAAGTTGTGGGTGTCGCGTATTGTGTCCCAGTAAAGAGAAAAGTGACTAAGCCAACTGCTGGAATCTTGCCTTTTAGAGAGTAAAAGACATTTGAGCCCTGTAAATGGCATGATCAGACTTGGCATTTTGAAACAGATTTCTGGCTTCTGTGCTGAGGACACACTGGGAAGGAGTGACGGGCAATGACAGGAGCAGAGGGCCCCAGTTGGGAGCTACTGGATGATCCAGGTGAGAGAGGGTGGTGGCCAAGACAAGGTGGGAATGTGAAAAGCCACGTGGTAAAGAGGGCCATGGGGCAACGGGTGTGGGAATGAGAGAAAAGGGGAGCACAGTGATGACCTCAAGGTCTGCGACCTGTGGATTGGTCTGCTTTCAAAGTAACACAAGCCAAGTGTTCCCAGGGGCCACTCTGGAAAAGACACCACCAACAGCCAAGACACAGCGCCAGGACCAGAGGGCATGGGATGGGCTCCTGAGGTCCCCATTCCAATGACTGTCCCTAAAGGCCTGTCAGACTTTTCATGGATTTGAGCCAGGACACTTACTTTGTGACCACTGGGGAACTGTGCTGAGAGATAACAGATATGATGATATTAAGAAATTACCATTTTCTGAGGAAATACTCTTAGAGATGTACACTGAAGAATGTAGGGGTAGAATATCATGGTATCTATAACTTTTTAAAATACTTCATCGTATCCAGCTACTTGGAAGGCAAAAGGAGGAAGATCCTGAGTTCTAGGCCAGGCTGGACAACTCAGTGAGACCCTGTCTCCAAAAAAAAAAAAGGATAAAGGTCTGGAGATGTGGTTCAGTGCTCCTTGGGTTCAATCTCCAGTATAAAACAAAACAAAACAAAACAACCCTCCTTGGTATAAATTAAGCTTTTAAAAATTCCCATTAAATAGGGAAGGGAGGAAGGGGTGAAGGGAGGGCAGGGACAAGGGAAAAAAATGAGAACCAAGACCTGTCATGTAAAGGTACAAGATCCCAATGATGAATGTAACTGTACTGTATACCTAAAATGTACCAATAAACTCAATGAGAGGAAAAATAAATAAATAAATAAATATAAATTCCCATTAAGTCGGGCATGGTGACACATGCCTATAATCCCAGTGCTGAGGAGGCAGAAGTAGGAGGATCTCTGCAAATTCAAGGCCAACCTGGACTACATACTGAGTTCAAGGCCAGACTGAACTACATAGTGAGATCCTATCTCAAACAAACAAGCAATTAAACAAGTTCCCATTTGAAGCTGAACTTAGTTTGAGTCAGGTTTTATCTTTTTTGTTTTGTTTTGTTTTTTGAGAACTCATAGCAATCCTCCTGCCTCAGCTGGGATTACAGGCCTGTAGCACTATACCTGGCAGATTTTATCTTTTATACAACAGAAAGTGTTCTAACACAGGTGTCCTGTACTCACTAAGGCCTCAAACCCATCTAAAAATGGAATTACTAAATTTCCCTCTGAGAGAAAGATCTGTGCTATCTGCAGCAATTTGAGAGAAGAGAAATTGCATATTTGGTTCTTCCCAGCTCAGGAAATCTCCCAGCTGAAGGGGAGCTCTAAGGAGAGGCTACATGAGAGACATGGTGGGATGGACAGCAAGAGGCTGTTCTAGGTTATTACTGGGGAAACTAGAGGGATGACAAGGATCAAAACCACAGTCAGGACCCGGGACCAGATTTTTTGTTTTGTTTTGTTTTGTTTTTGAGACACAGTCTTGTTGTGTATTCTGCGTTGGCCTTGAACTCACTATGCAGCTCACATTGGCCTCGATTTTACAGTGATCCTCCTGCCTCAGCCTCCCAAGCTCTGGGATTGCAGGTGTGTGTCACCATGCTCAGCATGGCGCCAAATCTGGACAGGTGGCCATTACCTGAAATGATGCTCTTGCCGTCCCTCATGAAATCAATGGCATGGCAGGTCATGTTGGGCACAGTGATCCGCAGCAGCTCCCTGTTGGACATCGTGTGCCACACCCTAATGTCTTTCTTGGCACAGGTAGCAAATAGTTCAGCAGTACCGCTGCAGAGAAGCCATGGAGGGATAAGAGATGAGGCCATAAAAGACACGGTGTTTCTTACATGAGTATTTGACACCAAAATGTGCTTCACAAGATATAGGCAGGGTGCCTTTCAGATACCAATTATCTGAAGACCTGAAGATCTTAGAGAGTTACTGTAGGAAGCGGCATTTAACACCCCCAGGTCAGCCATGGAAAATGTCTCACCGTCTTTTCTTCTTAGAAAGGCTTAGGACACAGTTTCTCAGAAAAAGTCAATTTGAAGTCTCTCTTAGTTTTGGAAGACTGGGGGCAGTCACGTTTCTTTATCTAAAAAAACCCACTTTACGATCAACACACAAAGCTGTGTGCACTTAATATATCTAACTTGATGAGTTTGGAGATAAGTATACACCTGGTAAGCGACATTTCTAGAAATAAAAACATGCACAGGATACTTAAAAAAGGAAACTATTTACCATTAAGTAGAAAATGTTATTAAAATTTCAAAGTAGAAAAAGACAAAGATGATAGAATTCATATTTGTAGACAGCTGAAAGTCTTTGCTTAGCTATGAGAAAACATAAGAGATTATGAGCAAGCAAGAGTATCCCAGAGTACCCCAGAGTAATTAGTCTGTCAGGCTCAGGGAAAACACACACACACACACACACACACACACACACACACACATACACACACACACAAAACTTGTAGATAGAATTTAAATTACCAATATATTAAAAGGCTACAGATTACTCCAAGTTTGATAAGAGAAAAAAATACTATTGGGGGGTATAACAAACCATCTTATTTATAAATACAAATGTTTAGTTAGTCTCTGCAGAGACTAAAGCTAACGCTTCGATTAAATACTTCGCAAGCAATTTCTGTATTTCATCACAAACACATTTCAAAAAAAAAAAAGGAAGGGTCCTTCTTCCTTATGGTAGAGTCTACTCAGTTTGGAATGAGCAGAATAAGTAAGCGGGTGCCTTTCACACATTGAGCTTTGGGGCTCAGAGTTCAAGTTATGATGCAGGCCTAGTTACTTAAAAAGAGCAGGTGCTGGATGGAACAAGACCTCGGATGCGGTGGCGCTCCTAGCTACACAGTCTTGATTGGCAGATTACGTCGAGCCAGTGTTAGAATAATACATTTATTATATTATACTAAATATACATAAATAGTTATATTTAAAATAAATAATGTACCATTATATAAAATACATCTAAATATTTCATATATTTAAATCACATGTAAAATAAAAATGAGCTCATAACGAGGTAGATGGGCTACTCAAATATCATGAGACAAATGCTCCCGGAGAACTTTCAGACTCCCTCCCCTGAATGGACTATCTATTCCCTCAGCCATCAGAGGCATAAACACTCAAGCCTGCTCTGAAAATAAGCCCCTCAAATAGGAAAGTGTCCTTCGTTTCCATTTGGAGAGGTAAGGTCCAGAAGGAACCAAAGCAACTGAATGACGGTGACCATCTAGGCTCTGAACCTCTTGTTTAACACGTTCGCAGTAGGGCAGTCATTCATGAATCTCGCGGCCAGGTGGCTTGGACTACCACTGGGACATGCATGACTGTCCCACTGGGCAGCTTTTTATTAGTAAAAAGACTGATAAAAGTGATTAGATCTGTCTGTACCACAGTGGTACAAGCTGCCTGATGGGACATCACATATGTAGTACAGGTGGTTCAAGTTAGTGGAAATGTGATAAAGCACTTTGAAATGAAGATATATAGAGATATAGACATGGATTTTTTTTTTCGGATACATTTTCCCCAATGATTTATAAATCATTAGAAGCAAAGAAATCATGGAAGGGACAGTTTCATCTCTATACAAATCCTCGGGTTAGTGCCAAACAATGCAAGCCCACAGGAGAAAGCAAGGCCGGGCTAAAAAATGCAACAGTGGGAAGCTAAAAGATGACCAGTTTACACTCACCATGGGAAAGACAAAATTGACAGTCTGAGTCTGTGCCAACAATGCTCAGAGAACAGAGTTGCTGCAGTGCGTTGGATGTAATAACAAGTTTTCAACAACAATAGCAACAAAAAACTACTGACAAGCAAAGAAATAAGAAACCATGATTTAGGGAAAAGGTAGTCAAAAGAAGCTGAGCCTGACATTCAGGGGCAGAGGGTGTGCTTAGAGTATGAGCGAGGCCTTGGCTTCAGGGAAACAAAGAAGGGAAGGGAGGGAGGGGACAGAGGGGATAGGAGGGAAAAGGCGGGGAAGGGTAGGGAAGAAAACAAGAAAGGAAGAAAGAAGCAGATTCCGAGTATCAGATTAGACTCGAGTATTAGATTAGGAGATACAAACGCCAAAACGACTATTTAAAGTTTTAAAATACATGTAAAATATTAGAACTGAGCGTGGTGCCACACATCCATAAATCCCAACTGTTCATGAGGAAGAGGCAGGAGAAGTCCCAAGTTCAAGGTCAGCCTGGGCAACTTAGACTCTTTCTCAAAATAACATATAAGAAAAGCTGGAGCCTTTTTATGGACCTTAGTATTTTAGTACTAATCGCCTAAAATGCACAAAAGCCTGGGTTCACTCCCCAGTGTGGAAAAAAACTGAAGGGAAATTATGATATCAATAAATATATAGATAGGTATCTCAACAGAGAGCTAGAAGCTATTATGTATAAAATTATAATTGTATATATATATTTTATAACTGTATATTTTTCTATAGGTGAAAACTATAAAAACAAATTATAGGCTCATTGGAGATGGCAAAAGAGTGTATGAATTGGAAGGTGGATTTAATATAGATTACAGGAGAAAAAAGAAAGACTAAAGAAAAGTAAACACTTAGAAAGCTGTGGGAAAACATTAAATTATTCAGCACATGTAATTGTAATTTCAGAAGGATGGGAGAAAGTGTGAAATTTTTTGAAGAAATAATGGCTGAAAACTTCCTAATTTGGTGCAGGAAAAAAAACATTTTATAGATCCAAAAAGCTTAACTAACTTCACGGTGGTAAACACAAAGAGAAAGACATTTTATCATCAAATAGATGAATGAGAAAGCCAAGGAACAATCTTGAAAGTAGGTAGACAAAAAATGACACATGATAAAGAGGAGAACAATAAGACTATAGAATGACTTCTCAATATGATCTGTGGAAATCCAGTAGCATTCGAATAAGATATTCAGACTCATGAACAAATAGAAAACAATGAGACAAGAACTCAAAAAAGGAGGCTAAAAAAGATTGTATTAGAGAAAAATTATGAAAAATTTGTCAGAGACTTATGTCTTTTTAAAAAATGCTAAATGAAGTTCTCTAGGCTGAGGTGGAAAGATACCAGATAATAACTAGCAACATTTAAAAAAAAAAGAATGAAGTTTGGTATGATAGCACATGCTTGTAATCTTAGCTACTCCAGAGGTTGAGGCAGAAAGATTGCAAGGTTGAAACCAGCCAAAGCATTTGGTAAGATCCTGTCCCCAAAATAAAATAGGCTAGGAATGTAGTTCGGTTGCAGAGTGCTTGTCTAGCATGAAGGAGGCCTATGGTTCAATTTCTAGTACCACCACTACTACCACCACCAGCAAAAATGAAAGTTCCTGGAAGGCTCAAATATGTGGGTAACCACAAATTTTTTAAAAAATGTTTTACTCCTCCATTTCTAGAAAAGATTTAAGCTTGTTTAAAATAAGCAATGTAGCCGGGCATGGTGGCTCACGCCTGTAATCCCAGCACTTGGGAGGCTGAGGCAGGAGGATCGTTGTGAGTTCAAGACCAGCCTGGGCTACATAGTGAGTTCCAGGTCAGTCTCAACTATAGAGTGAGACCCTGTCTCAAAAAAACAAAAAAATAAAATAAAATAAATAAACAATATTGTACTGATGGACAATATTAACAGGGTAAGGTATTACTGTTATAGAATTCTTGTACTATATTTTACTTGAAGTAATTAAATATTAACTGTAATTAGACTTTGAAATATTAAAGATGCATATTGTCATCCTTAGAGCCACAACTAAAAATTAATACAAAGATACACATAGCTAGAAAGCTTAAAGATCAATTAAATGGAATGCTGAAAATAGCTGATCATCACAAAAGGAGCAGCAAGGAAATAGCAGAATAAACAACAAATGAGGAAAAACAAAACAAATTATATTAAGTGTAAATGGGCTAAATATTCCAAATATAAAGCAAGATTTTTCTGACTGTATAGAAAAGCAAGAATCAATTATCTGCTGTTTCAAGAAGCGTACTTTAGGGCCTGGGATTTAGCTCAGTGGTGCTACCACCTGCCTCGCAAGCTCAAGGTTCTGAGTTCAATCCTTGGTATCAAAAAGAAAAGGCACTTTAAATATGAATATATAGAGGGCTAGGCATGGTGGAATATGCTTGTAATCCTAGCACTCAGGAAGAGAAGGATTGCTGCAAGTTTAAGGCGAGCCTAAACTACACAGCAAGACCCTGTCTGAAAAAGAGGGGGGGGGTTTGATGTGTGAAAACAAAAGAATAATAAAAACAAAGAGCAAAATTTAAAGTTAAACCAAGTATTTTACGAGGCAGGTGTGGTGCCACTGCGCTACATCCCCAGCTAAACCAAGTACTTTAAAGAAAACAATAAAATGTTACCTTGACTATAATTACCAATAATTATAGCATAGGAGACTGAAGAGGAAAATTAAGAGGAAAATAAAAATATACCAATTCTTCTCTTAGTGATGGATAGGAAATAAACATTGGTTAACTTCAGTCATTGATAAAAGATAAATTTAAATATGCATATTAAAAATTTAGGGGAAACTACTGAATTAATAAAAAGAATAGCTCCCAAGTTGTAGAAACAACTCACATATCCATGAACTGGTGAATGGAAAAACAAAATGTAGTATATCTATGCAATGAATTTACTCACTTTTAAAAGAGATGAAGTATTAATATAACCTATAACATAGATTATTCTTAAAAGTATTATGGTAAGTTTTAAAAACTATTCACAAAAGGCCTGATACTATTTGATACTTTTTACATGAAATGTCTGGAACAGGGAAATCCAGTGACAGACAGTAGATCAATGTTTGCCTAGCACTGCAGGAGGGACTGACTGCTGGAGAGCGTTTCTTGTTTGTTTGTTGGTCCAGAGGAAAAATGAAATGTTTTAAAATTAGATAGTAATTGTACAACTCTGTGTGCTAAAAACTGTAAATGGGCGAACCTTACAGTACAAAAATTATATATTAATAAATCATTATTTAAAAAACAAAGAAAATTAAAGGTATAAAACCTGAATAGATCCATAACTGTATAAAAATTCCAAAGATACTTTAAAAGTCCACCCTCTTATAATGTGTCAGAACCAAACAATTTTACAGACTGATGCTACCAAGTTCCATAAAAATTGACACTGAAAGGAAATGACCCACTTTCAAATAAAGATTCGCCTAATTGGAAAGCACCAGTCATTTTTCCCACTAGAAATATTTGGAAGAATGGAATCATAAGGACTTGGGGAACAAAAGCTACAGCTAGCTCATTATGTCAGGGGCTGGTTTTGAAAAGTCTTGCTGATCTGTGCAGCTGTGGTTTTTCTGAGTTAAATTCAAGCTAAACATTAAGGGAGCTCAGAAAAAAAAACTCTGACAAATTTCACGGAATGGATGTCACCAAAGACAAAATGTACTTCAAAATCAAGCAGTGGACTGTTATGACTACAGCCCTTTTTTGATATAAAAATGTGGATATTTATTTGTTTTAGGTGGGAATTGCCAAGAACTACAGCAACTAGATCCAGAAGTCTTCGCATTCACCACAAAGTCCGCCAAATAAGGAAGAGGCCAAGAGGGTCCCGTGAGTAACTGGGAAAAAGTTGGGAGAAAGGCACTACTACACTTTTTCCAGATGGCATCAGGAAAACAGGGAAGTTTTGCCTGATATCCTTCCATGATAGGTTTATTTTTAAAAGTCCACATTCTAAAGAAGCCCAAATTTGAATTGGGAAAACTAATGTGATTTCATGGTAAAGACAACTGAAAGTGTTGTGAAAGTAATTCGGTACATTAGAAAAATTTAAGGAGAAAAATCACACTCATGTTAATTGATGTTAAATGTGCTGCACTCGAATTAATTTTTCTTGCACATGGCACCAAATTGCCCCGTCCTAATTTTCCTTCTCTACTTACAATGGAAAGACAATGTCCTGGACAGCTTCAAAGTGACAAGTCGCTATGAGGGTCTCTTTGAAATCTGTGAAGCTGATGCGATAAATATGTGATTCTTCTGTTCCTACGAAAAATTGGTGTCCTTCTCCTCGAAGTGTGATAGAAGTGATGCCACCTTGTAACTGAATTTTCCTTTGAAGGAGAAAAAAAGGTAAAGTCAATTCACTCAACCATCAAGTGTTGATTACCCATCTGAAGTGTTACAGAAGATCCAAATCAGGCATGGGATTTGGGACATACCCTCAAGGAAGTGACAAGTGGGAAAAGCGTGAGTTATTCACAGCATTGTGTACCCACCTATAAAACAGTCAAGGGATTCATTAGTCAGACACAGACTGAATTGGGTTCTGTGAGATGGGCAGGGTTTGGATATGAGGAACATTTCAGGCGAGGCTATGGGTACAAAAAAAAAAAAAACATGGCAACTTAAACCATTTATTAATTCTATCTCTGGGAAATAACCTGAAAGTTGAGGGGAGACCATTTAGGTCAAAGGATGCTATTAAAACCTTATGTAAAATAGTGAGACAATGAAAACAACCTAAATATCTAATTGTAATGGAATTGTTAAGTTATCTATGGGACATAAACTTCATAGAATATTTGCCTGGCCACAAAATGTTTAAAAGATTATGTACTTTATATATATTTTACCACAATGATAAAAAATACCATGCAGTAATATTGAAAATATTTATGATACCTTTATGATGTGAAAAAGTCAGCAAACAAAATTTTATATTAGCACAATTACTTCAAAATCTGTCAATAACAAAGACAAAAAAATAACAGAAAGTTAATAGTGATTGTCTTTGCCTGATTTTCAGACATTATTTTCTTTTATTTCACATTTCTGATTTCTCCCTCTTTCCCTACCCTGTTGTTTTGTTTGGTTTTGTTTTGGTTTGAAATTTTGAGACAAGGTCTCACTATGTAGTTCAGGCTGGTCTCAAATTCACTATGTATCTCAGGCAGGCCATGAACTTACACCCAATCCTCCTGCCTCAGCCTCTCGTGTGCCGGGATTATAGGCATGCACCACCACACCTGACCTCTTACCTGGTTAATAATCCTTATTTAATAAATATGAACTTAAAAGCAGAAAAGAAACAGAATATATAAATGAAGAAGACTCAAGGAACTCAACATTGCTCTGCACCTAATTCAGTCTGGATGATATTCAATGGGGGTTCTTGTGAAGGAGCCGGCATGGATAATGCAACATTTTAGAAAGATCTGTTTGTTAGTAGGACACAGCTGGTTAATGAAGAATGGAAAACCACAAGTCCTATCCCAGCCCCTTTTCTAACTGGAGATCTCTGACTGTGCACAAGTCAGTAAAAGCAGATTCTGGCCGCCACTTCCTTTGGGCAGTTCCAGCGGCTGCCACTAGTCTTGAAGGGGTCCAAACTGGGGGACACCCCAAGCCATTGGTTGAAATGGGCAGTTGAAAGGTGAGGGGCAGGGTCTCTCTCCACCTCTTTCAGAATGGGATACACAAACTCACCAGTTTCCTGCAAAGCTTTGGATTGTATGCTAATTGAAACTCTTATGAACTGTAAAATATCCTTCAATTAGATCAATTTGTAAGAGAGAAAATGGTCATAAATTCCCTGTGTCCAGATAGTTTTTGCTTTAAGAGGCAACTCCAAGCTTCCCCAACAATGCAGCCTGGAACCCAGGTCACTTGTGGGCTTCCAAGGTCTGAATGAGACTCAGGCAGCTCCATCTAAGGCTTCTAGTCCACCCCCCAAACCCAAACTGCTGTCCAGCCCAAAAGAAGCCTCCACAGAGGGACCCCTCTGGCTTCAGGAGGTGAGCAGGGGAGAACTGGGGGCTTAAAATGGGTCAGACAGGATTAGAAAGATTGTCTGGTGATCCTGGTAAGCACATGGAGGCGTTTCAAAGTTTAGCTCTATCTTTTGCTCTAGCATGATAGGTTATTATACTTCTTTGAAATCAAACATTAACCCTTAGTGAAAAGCAAGTGGCTTTGCAAGCAGCAGAGGTCTTTGGAAGCTAGTTACATATGATTTATCATAGGAAGCATGAGGAACTCCAGCCAGGGGAAAGACCAGGAGGTCCCAGGAGATAACCCCTACTGGGACTCTGATGACTGTCCTCACTCACATCAAATATTTCCAGGCCTGTATCCTAGAAGGGTCATTGCAAGTGATCAATTATTGATCAGGGTAGTGAAGAAAATCACTCAGCCTTTTTACAAAGACTCCAGGAGGCTTTAACTACATTTACCCTCCCATCCTCAGATGCTGCAGGGGGGCAGGTAATCTGTAAGGATAAATTCGTAACCCAACCTGCCCCAGACAGCCCGAGAAAACTACAAAACTACGAAAGAAGGTATTTGGTCAGGATAGCTCTTTAGATTCCCTGAGGTCTTTTATAATCAACACTAGGAGGGGGTCAAAGAGAAGGAAGATTAAGGTCCGAAATGGGCAGTGGCACCTGTGGCCGTCCTCTGGGGAGGAGGCAATGGAATTCTGAGGGCTCTGTAGATGATTCATCCACTTACAATAACTGAGGAAAGCCAGGACACTTCCGTGGGGAATGATTGCAGCCCCCAGCACCAGAAGGGCCGAGAGCCACTCCTGCCCAGTCTGTAAGAGGAATCACTGGAAGCGGGATCTGGGATCAAAGAAAGCCAGCTTTCCACTTGGTCCTACAAGAAGACTAGGGAGGCCCAAGGCACCCTTCACAAGCTCCTTGAAATCAGACTAATCGCCACTTGGGAGCCCTGGGTGACTCTAACGGCAGAGAGAAATTAATCTCCTCCTCCTGGATTCAGGAGCTGCTATTGCTGATCTCCTCTCTCCAGTCCTGGCCTGCAGTCAGTACAACTGTCAGAAGTGTCAGACACTTCTCACAGCCCCTTTGCTGTAGTTGGGATGATTTTCTATTCTCCCATGCTTTTCTGATTATGCGAGAAACCCTAACCTCCTGCTGCAAGGAGATATCTTACATAAGCACTATCATTTATATGCACCCAAAGTCAGTACTCTGCCTTTCCCTAAGGGAGACAGAGGTTAATCCAAGCCTGGACAGTACTGGGAAGACTAGAATAATCAGTAGAGGTAATATCTGTATTCACTCATTTAAAAGACCCAATGTCTTTCCCTCACTTCCTTGGCATACATACATATTTAACAGCTAGTACGCCTTCTAACTCCAGGGACCTAATCTTTTTCTACACAAATACTCCCTAAACACTCCCTAAAAAATAAAAAAGTGGTTGCTAAAAGAAAAATTTTAGATTACAACACTGTACCTTTAACACTCTGTCCCTTTGGAGAGAACTTTTATGTAAGAAACAGATGTGGCTATCAATAGAGCAGTTTACCATAGTGAATCTACTAGAAGGGATCCCAGGAGCCTAGGGTGCTATTCCAAAGATTAAGATAAACCATCAATCTAAAGTCCTTTTAAAATGGTTCTTGCTTTCCTGGGCATATAAGGGTTATTCTTTCATTTCCCTTTTAACTCTTATTTGTGTTAACTTATTACAAGAGATCTCTCTTATTACTCGCCCAAAAAGCACTAATAGATGACCCATAGATAAAGTTCTGAGTAGTCTATTGAGAGTTAAAAACCTAAAACTAGAAAAGGGCTATTGTAGTTCAACTTGGCCAATTCACAAAAAGTGAACTCTGACTTAAAAGTAATTGTTTTGTGTGTCCTATTTGTTTCTTGTTTATTCATCTGACTGTTTAATCTGCTTTAATGATCAGTTAAAGTACCTGTAGCTGCTTCAGTACAGGTTTTTGAGCTCGTTATCAATTGTATTTCTCCTTTTATTTTTGCCCTTGTAAACTTCTGTTTGTTATGGTTAGGCCATGCATTCTTATCTCTTGGTAAAATTCATTTCTTCTTGCCTAGAGACTGTCAAACAACAAGTGGTCACGCAGATGCGGCCGATGATGAATGTGCTAGACTCCTTTTACTGGGTCCACAGATCAACCCTCTGAACACAGTCCCTAACTGCTGAATCCCAATATAACTTCTATGAAAGGCCGCTCAGACTAGCTGTCTGGAGAACATCTCGATTCCACTCCCCCCCTACACTGACCCTCCTCAGGTTGAAGCAGCCAGATTTGGTCTTTGCCCCTTCTTCCCTAACGGCAATTAGGGTTACTTCTTCAGAGGGAGAAATGTAGAAAATAGTTTATTTGTTTAGTTTATAAGTGAGGCAGGGGGAGAGCCTGAGACAGAGCTGGGTGATCAGCCACATTGATAAAAATTAAAATAAGAACAGACAGTGAACTAGGACTCTAGACCAAGAATGAACTTCCTCAGGCAACGTGGGATGCTACCCACTCCTTACTAAGTTCTGAGCTCTGAGAAACTTAAAATGCAAAAGAACCATTTTTTCCCTTTAAGATCCCAGTTCCTTTTAAACCCTACATGTTGAAGAAATGGGTGAGACAGCCTGAATTCCAAATGGTTGTTTTAAATCCACAGAGCCACCTGTAATATGTGGTCACTAAAACAGCTGAACAACTCCCACGCTCTGCTTATCTATAGTTAGCTCTGGATCAAGGGGCCTGGTGGCGACACTTTGGGGACCCCTCTTGGAAATCCAGAAGCTATTCTCCTTCTTACTTCCAGTAAAAGCTCTCCTAACCTAAAAAAGGGAAGAAATGATTACTTCCACTTTGAGTCTTCACTGTCATCAGGCAATTTGAGAAACAGCATAAAACTTGAAAAATTGCTCTGAGTCTAACTATCTTCATCAAAATGGGAATATTTGCATATCAAAATGAAGGGCTAAAAATTTAGGAGGTTAAATTAACTTACTATGTTCACCACATATCCAGAATCTATTAACATTTTCTCCCTCATTCTCCTTCATACAACACAAAACTGGTCCAAAAATATTCTTATTAAAACCTGTTTTGACCACTGAATTTAAAATTGTAGCCTGTCCCCTGCCCTCTTCAATCCCCAATTCCCCTCGCTCTATATCCTGCTTTATCTGCATTGCACTTATCACCCTATTACAGTAGTTCCCTCTTCTCTGTGATTTTGCTTTTCTTGGTTTCACTTAAAAAACAGCAGCCTGAAAATATTAAATGCAAAATTCTAGAAAAATATAATTTGGAAGTTTTAAACCGTATATCATTCTGAGTAGTGTGATAAAATCTTGTGCCTTCTTGTTCTGACTGTAGCTTTCTTGATTATCAGATCAATAGTCTTGGTACTGCAGTGCTTGTGTTCAAAATTTAAAATTTGAAAATTGATTCATTCAATGAAATTTATTTTGCTTGAGTACTTGCTATGTGTAAGGCCTTGTGCTAGTAGGCAGTGTATTGGAATACAAGTTTAATATAAACAGCCAATATTCAGTAGCTTGGGTACTTTTCTTATCCATAGTCCCCAAAGTGCAAGAAGAGTGATGCTGGCAATTTAGATACGCCAAAGAAAAGTCAAAGAGATTTCTTTAAGTGAAAAGTTGAAATTTCTCAAAAACAGAAAAAATAAATCATGCTGATGTTGCTAAGAATGAATTTAATCCATGACATTGAGAAGAAAATAATTTTGTGCTAAGCCAGGAGTGGTGGCACATGCCTGTAAGCCCAGCACTCGGGAAGCTGAGGCAGGAGGATTGCTATGAGTTGAAGACCAGCCTGGGCTGCACAGTGAGTTCCAGGGCAGTCTCAACTACATAGTGAGACCCTGTCTCAAAAAACTAAACTTGAAGCTAAGTTCAAGTTTAGCCTTTGCTCCTTTGTGAAATGATTTTCCTGATCTCTCCATCCTGATCATTCCTTCTCTGACTTTTCCTATACATCCATGATATATTTTATTTTACCTGGGATGTGAAGTTTGTGCTTAGATGCTCTCTCATCTTGTGGTGACTTTTTCCATACGTATAGACCTTATGCCCAAACTGGACTGTAAGGTCTGGGAGGATAAAGGCCTTATCTTATTTTTCTTCATTTTAAAAATAGTACCTAGCACAATGGTTTGGGTGGAGGAGGTGCTGGACACATGCTTGCTAATGACAATGTATAAAGTTTTGCTTACATTATTTATTTAGTTTTCTATTTTTGAGTCAGGGTCTTACATTGTGGTTCAAGCTGACCTTGAACTCACTATGTAGTCCAGGCTGGCCTCAAACTCACAGCAATCCTCCTGCCTCAGCCTCCCAAGTGCTGGGATTACAGGTGTGTGCCCCACAACTCAGCTTATTTACATTTATTTTAATTAGATGAACCATGAAAACTACATAGCATATATCTGGCCCACAGATATAGCTACTGAATATTGGCTATTAGTATTAAACTTGTTTTCCAATACTCTGCCTACTAGCACAAGGCCTTACACATAACAAGTACTCAAGCAAAATAAATTTCATTGAATGAATCAATTTTGAAATTTGAAATTTTGAGAATTTGGGGGGGATATGTTTTTGAAAAAAATATTTATCACATTTTATTAAAGTTACCCAAAAATAGATCCTATTATTCATTATAGGTTTGTAAATAAATTCCTGATTAAAAAAAATATTTTATTAACATTCCAGAAACCTATTGGTTAGTAGCCGAAGTGTAAAATAATTAAATGGAATCCACAGTGCTATGAACTGTCCCTAGTATTATCAAAAGAAAACCTACAACTTATGCCTTATTGTGAGGATTAAATGAGCTGATTGAAGCAAAGCATTTGGTGTGAAGCAGGACTTAAAGAAAAAAAGTTTCCTCTCAAGCCTTGGGCAGTTTCCCTGCACTTGGACCCCCACACACACCTCCCCTGTAGCTGTAACTCTTTGTTCTGGTACAGATAAAACTGGCAGCTATGTCCTATAAACAACGTTTACAACATTCTGTTATTCAGAAGGCTCTGTCTTCTTTCAAGGCTAAATTACAAAACTGCCTGTCCTTGTCCTGTTTCTGTAAACTCTTTGCTATGTCACTAGAAAGTCCACCCTCCTTTGACCAAATGTATAAAAATTGGAAACTTTCCTTTGCTCTCTGCTCTTCCTTTGGACATTAGTCCATTGAGCCTGTGTTCACCTAAAACCTGAAATAAGTCCTCATTTCCCAGTGGTCTCTCCTGTCTCTTTTACCCCACAATGGGTATTTAGAAAGTACTCAGTAAATGAATCTTTTTTCCCTTTTAGCAATAAATTTATAACATCACTATTTTCTTTGTCATGTTTCAATGTGTTAGTGCAGTAAAAACATATATTGATTAAGGGGAGTGTCCAGCTAGTCCTAGAGGATTTCTTTGATCAACACAAGTCTTTCAATAGGGGAAAAAAAAACATCAGTCTGATTCCAGTTACTCAATAGCAAGATGAAATTCTCTGACAAAATACCACTTTGCTAATATCATTTAGTAGCTGGCTTTAAGTGAACCTCCCTCCAGTGAGTCTCTACTTACACAATGTTTTGGGGCCCCAGAACTTACTTGGCAGGTTTGTAGCTGGAGCTTTTACAAAAGACCAGCAATCCAGCTCCAGAGCCCACCAACAAACCCCCCATCTTCAGGCATCTGATGGCCGACACTCCCTAGAAGAAGAAAGCAGTGCTTTGACAAAGGTCAAATAATTTCATCCTTCTTTTTTATTTTTTATTTTAATTTTCTTCGTATTATTTTTGAAACAAGGTCTCACTATGTTGTTGAGGCTGGCCTTGAACTTGTGGTAATCTTCCTGCCTCAGCAACCAAGTGCTAGGATTATAAACATGCACTACCATGCCTGGCTCCCAGTATGAATTTCTAATTTTAAACTGTATATGACTGCTAGGGTTTGAATGTGACTCTACAAAGTTTCTTCATGGGAAACCCAAACCTCCATGCAATGGAGTTGGGAGGTGGTGTCTGGGAAGGGGTGACTGGGTCACAGAGGCTTTGCCTTCAATGGTGGGTTCACAGTATTATCGAAGGAGTGGGTTGGTTATGAAGAGAAGTGTGCTTGTTGCAAAAAGAGAGTTTAGCTAGGCGTGGTGGCATCCACTTGTGGTCCCTACTACTCAGGGCTGAGGTAGGAGAGTGGCTTAAACCCAAGTGTTCAGGGTCAGCCTGACCTCATGTTCTGTTTTATTTATTTTTACTGTTACCATTACAGAGTTTATTAAGTATTGTGAGAAAATTGTGACATCTGAGTATAGTTAGCTTTGGGCACTTTTACAATTTTTGAGTGGGCCAACCCTGCAGTTTGATTCAAGTCTGCCTGCTAGAGGCAGGTCTCCTCCTGATCCCCCTCCCCCGTATCTTGAAAATTGTCTGCTCTTTCTTTTTATTCCTCATTGTTCCCCCCAGAAGGTAGCTGAGGTCTGATCAGCCCTTTGTATGCTAGTATACATCCACAGGTTCTGAACATTCTCATCTGACTGGCAGATATACTCATGGCTTCAGAGGAAAACACCTAGCTGACACATTTGGGAAAACTCTGGGGTCTCTGTCCTGTTTCTGCTACTGCTGCTGAGTAGGGAGTATATCTGCAGTTGGAATAGGGAGGGAAGAGAGAGATTTATGGGAGATGGAGGCACAAACATCAAATCAGACACAAACAGAATCGCCAACCCCTGATCCTGTGTCATCAGTGCCTTTGAATAACACAAGAGGGCCAGGGATTTAGCTCAGTGGTTCTGCTGCCTGCCTCAAAAGCACAAGGTCCCAAGTTCAATCCCTCGTACCCAAACACAACAACAACAACAAAAAAAACCTGAGTAACACGAGTGCCCCAAGATACGGAACTGTGATACTCTACCACATCTTCATGGGAGGAATTGACTTTATGACAAATGAAAATGATTTAAGAAAAAATGTTCCCAGTATGAGTCTGTAAAAGAAGTGAAGATTGTAAATGACAAGAGCTGGAGTGTCTAAAGGGTATGGTTTTGTCACTTTTGAAACACAAGAAGATACACAAAATATTTTACAAGAAGCTGAAAAACGTAACTGTAACAATAAGAAACTGTACATTGGTCCAGCAATAAGAAAACAACAAGCGGGGATCTCTCTCATTCTATTGTAACACCAGCTGCTAGAACAACGTTATTGAACCACTCCAACCGGTTATCATTACACTTACACTTATTTTCATACTTCGGAGGTGACTTCTGTCCCACCAGCTGGCCTTCCACATTTCCATATCTAGTTCTCCTATGATGGAAGCCCATCCCACTTATCAGCAACCGCATATCACTACCAGGTCCCAGCACAGTGTCTACCAGGACAATGGCAGTGGGTGTTCCTCGGACTCCTATCTCTTCTATTCCATCCTTATACCTGCAACCTTCTGAGGTAATTCGTCAACACATGGAGATTGAACAAGATGATGGATGTGTTCCTCCCCCACTGTCTCTGATGGAAGCTTCCGTTTCAGAGCCTTATTCTGATCATGAAACGCCATTGCTATGCCTGTGCCTATGATGCAGACTGAAGTGATTAAAACAGTGTGGAGCACTCATTATTAAGAAAATTCGGTGGCTCCAGTTCAGCTTGATTTCTTGTCCACTGATCCTTGAGTGACCAAGATCCTGCTCCAAGAAACTAGCTAGAAGCTGCCCATTGTGAAATTTAGGATTACTCAGTGTCTCAGTACACTTATTTATTCTGTGGTAAGCTGTCTAAATTTTATGTGATTTGCCTTTTCAAGCTGTTTTACAAAAAAAAATTATTTAGGTAGATGTGGCATGTTGGCTTTCTGTGTGTTAACCTAACTGAATTTCTATAACATGTTTTATCCATTCCTAAATAACAACCACATTGGGTCTAGTGAGGTGTCTTTAATTTTCTTTGCTTTGTGCTCTTCTCAAGCTTTTAGATACAGTGTTTTATAAACAATTGTAACAATGGTGATAAAATGTGAATGTGCCCTTTCTCACTCTTTTAAAAGCTCTTGCACTCTCTGGCTCTTCTGTTTTCCCCTGTGGGATTAGGTAGCACACTCCCTCTCACAAAATGCCCTTATCATGCTCAGACGTCCAAGATCCATAAGCCAGACACATTTCTATCGTATAACTCAC